TCAATGTACGGATGAATTAGCAGCAGCTTTCCACGTTAGCATCAAAACAATATTGGTCCATTTGCGTCAAATTAGCAAGGTAAAAAAGCTTAACATATGGGCGCCCCACGAACTTAATGATCGCCATCGCGAAGTACGCATCGAGATGTGCTTTGCACTGCTTAACAGGCACACAAACGAAGAATTTATGAACCGCATTGTTATATGCAACGAAAAATTGATTCTGTTTGACAATCGTAAGTACTCAGCAAGTTGGTTGGATTCTGATTCAGCACCTAAATAATGCCCTAAGTGAAAACTTACCCCTAGAAAAGTGTTGGTCACTGTTTGTTGGTCTAGCGCCGGTGTGATTCATCACAGCTTCTTACCATGTTTGGTAAGAAGCTGTGATGAATCACACCTCTGCAGTAATGCTCATCCTGCAGGATGAGCATTACTGCAGATGTGTACTGTGAATAACTGAACACAATGATGGAGAAGCTCACAAGTCTCCAACCAGCTTTGGTCAATCGCTCGTCTCCGCTACTCCTGTACGGCGACACGCGACTTCATACTGCACAACAGATGGTCTCCAAGTTACAAGAGCTAGGTTATAAGTTCCCGTCATCCACCGTACTCACCAGATCTTGCGCCTACAGACTTCTACTTTTTCCAGAATTTAAATAACTTTTTGGCGGGTATGAAATTCAATACCCGAGAGGCAGTACAAAACATCTTTGAAGAAATTGTTGCCTCCCACGTCCAGCTGATTTTTTCAAAAAGGGCATCAATAAACTGCTACTGCATTAGCAAAGATGCATCGATTGCATGGGTGATTACTTTGATTAATAGTAATAAAAATAGAAAAATACTTAGGTACGTTAACTTATTTCATAAAAAACGGCAATTTCATAGGTAAAGACCTAATATTAGGTAACGTATCTTGACAATTATTTAATACTAAAACGGAAGGACTGCTTTCGGGTGACCTTTATCGATATCTAAAAACTTTTTCAAACACATCCTTTCTCTTGAAAGCTCCAATCGCGGTTAAGATCATGCGTTCATTATTCCTCCAACTTTGAGCATACTTTATTAAAATTTTCATCGATCTTATTTAAATCATAGAGGAAACTCTCGATTCTATTATATTCTGCTGTGCTGTAAAACGTGTCTCTATTTAAGTTTATCGCGGTGTCTAACTTTGGATAGAAAACATTTGTTCTGAATAACATTTCTTGATCCGGAATATATTTATATGTTTTTATCTTTATTTATTTAGAGTCAAAATTATCCGAATTTGGGAACTTTCAAACCTTTAAAAATTCATAACTCCGAAAATGTTAACTTTATCCTAAAAAGTCATGGGACTTTTTTTTATTTGTATTTTATCAAAGAACACAAAAAGAAATTTGTCCAGTTTAAAAATAACAATTCCTTGCAATTGAAAAAAAATCGGTTTAAACAATATGGCACCGAGTTGCCCCATGGCAACATGCATTCATGTCATCAACAGAACAACTTGAAGAGAATCGCATGAAAAAATTGAGGTGGAATAGTTTTGGTACTCATGCGCCGATTCTATAAAGGCTATACTCGTAAGAACATTTTCTTCTTTTTTCGTTCGCGGATTCTTTCAAACTCAGAGTTTATTTCACCTTTTTTAGCTGTATCTTAGCTGCAATGAGAGCCTTTGTTAATCCTTCGTCTCTAGGTATATTCTTTTTGTGCATCAGTTTTGTAGCATCTGATAAATTTATGCGCTCTGCTGGCATGCATGTGCTGACAAGATTTACGTGGAATAAAATGTCGTACCAAATGACTAAAGACAGCAAAAACTCGAACTTCTTAAAATTGGGATTGTGCGTGAAGATAAATAAGTAAGGCTGCAAGTGATTTAGCTTCCAAACTTGCCACGGGATCAGTTGTGTCGATTCTTCTTCCAAGGCACTTTTTACTTCGGCGTACTGATACCGCACCGCTTGCAAGCTGTTGACTCTACTTTCGCATCTTGTTTGACACACCTTCTTTAAAGTTAAGCTCTTCACATGTTTAGAAATAACTTCCCATCTTTATGTTGAGTTTGTAAAAAACTACAAATAAGCGCTGAAGAATGCCGCGCTCGTCTCAACGAATAAGGCCATACGCACTTATACATGTTCGAAACCAAAATATTGAAAAGCGAGAAATTTTTGATCAATAAACTCAGGTACATGAGCAAAGAAACGGAATAGAGACTAAGCTTCTAAGGAGCGTGCAAAATTGTTACCTAAATAAGCTAAAAGATTATATTTTTCTATTATGTACGTAGCTATGCTATTATAAAAGTTTGACTAAGGCGCCTTCTGGGACTTGGCGCCTGGAGCGGCCGCTCCGTTCGCCCTATGGTAGGGCCGGCCCTGAAGAGATGTAAGGCGGGATATAGCAACTCATTAATTCGATATCTTCTTACAATTCTTGACGAGTATTTATGCTGAAGTTTGCATTTTTGTTCTTTTATCCTCTTCAGACCCAGGCGGAGAGAAAACGAAATAGATGATATTCTAACTTTTTTCTTGTTAACAGGGGATCAAGTAAAACATAGATTAGTACTAATTTTATTTATTGAATTTTACAAAAGAAACGAAAATGGCGCACAGTCATACACCTGAGATCTTATTATAAATACCTATTACTAATGTGTACGATACACTTTAAAACAGTTATTTTTCAATATACAGAAATAAACGTTACATTTGATACAAATTGTACGGCAAGGGATGAGCATTCACGATAGCGAAATTTTGACACGAACTTGTCGTCCGCGTATCGGGGCAGGTACTCTGTCTAACATCACGTCAGGAGGTGGATGTGCCACGACTGCTCTATGTTTTTTTGGCGTCCCTTCCTCTTCCCTGGAGGTAGACGGATTCGGCCTCTTTTGTTTTCTTCGCCAGGGCTGATGTATCGCGAATAAATAGGGTTTACCCAAACACCGTCGTATCCTACCATTCAAATTGTTTATTGCATGTCACATTACAAATTTAAGATATTAAATTTGATAGGTATACATGTGACGCCCTGCAAGGGCATGGCAACAGTAGAGGACTAACTATTTTTGTATAATCTAACTTTTAAACATAAATATAAAATATCATATCATCAATATTCAATATGATTCTATATAAATTACTTAAATTTGAAATACAATAAAGTCGAAGTATTTTTTCTTCGTCATTATTTATTGTCAAAAAATTCTCTAGGATTTTTATAGAATTCGGTAACCTTTATTGACATAACGTGGGGGCTAGTCGAAACTAATTTTAATTTGGAGAAGGGTATCCTAAGCATATACATTCTGTGTACTAAATATCGGGAATTTGTCAATAAAACAAAAAATACAAATTATTCATCTAAATTTATTTTATCGCCTTCAAAGTAGGTCCCATCGCTTGCAATACAACATCTCCAACGCTTCACCCAGTCTTCCATACATTTTTCATAGGCTATTTGCGGTATGGCCTTTAGCTCATTCAGCGAATTTTTTTTTATGGCTTCTATCGACTCAAAACGTTTTCCTCGAAGTGGTAATTTTAACTTGGGAAATAAAAAAAAGTCAGACGGAGCCATATCAGGTGAATACGGTGCTTGGTCGAGAACTTTTGTTGAATTTTTCGCTAAAAACTCTTTCACTATAATGGCTGTGAGTGATGGTGCATTATCATGGTGCAGCATCCATGAGTTGTGTTGCCACAAATCTGGACGTTTTCGGCGGATACTCTCACGCAAACGCTTCATGACGCCTAAATAGTATTCTTTATTCCCTTTGGAAGGAATTCGGAGTGAACCACACCACGGTAGTCAAAAAAAAACTGTCAGCATCACCTTGATTTTGGAGCGACTTTGCCGCGGTTTTTAGGGTTTCGGCTCGTTTTCGAGACGCCATTCTGAAGACTGTTGGCTTGTTTGCATGTACTCATAAACCCATGTCTCGTCGCCAGTTATTATATGTTTCATAAAGGTCGGATCCGTAGAAGCTCGGGAAACCATGTCTTCAGCGACATGCTTTCGCTGCGCTCTTTGAACAAAATTGAGCTCTTTTGGAACTAGTCGAGCGGCGACGCGTTTCATGCCTAAAATGTCAATGAGAATGTTGTGGACGGACTTAAAAGATATGTTCACCTCACTAGCCAACTCTCTCAGACTCATACGTCGATTTTCGAGCACTAGCTTCTTGATTTTGTCGATGTTTTCTTTGGTCGTAGCGGTTGAAGGTCTACCAGAACGAGGCAAGTCTACTACTACTTCTCGGCCTTCTTTAAAAGCCTTATACCATTCATATGCCCTTGTTTTCGATATACACGATTCGCCGTAGGTATTTCGCAACATTTTTAGTGATTCACCACATGAAATATCATTCGAAACACAAAAGGCACACTCTTTGTTCAACAATATTTTCCATTGTAAAAATCGCCGAGAACTCAAAACTATAACCAACAAAAAGTGTAGTTTAAATAAATAATACTTATTGAAAGTCACTCTTTTCTTTAATTACCACTGGTTCGAAAGAAAACCTGTCTTGGGAAGAACTAGCAAGAAACTCAGCGGGACTTTTTTTTAAATAAATGCTTACAATCATGTTACACAACTAACTACTCAAAACAAATTAGAAATAGCTTGGTAGAGATCACCTCATTCCCAGGGGTTATTATCATCCATAAATTCCTTAATATTATAATAACCTCCTGGGGCACCACCTATGCACGTAAACAGCATGGTGACGGCTTTGGTGTCCTTCCATTTCGGTACAAAAACTTTTTATCATACCCTAACTGAGGAATTATCGATCTCTTGTCAAAGTGTCTCGGATCACCACGCAAAGGTCTTTGCTCCAGTAAAGTCTACCTTGTGGGTATTTTAAAGTGCCCAAAGTTTTCAAGCCAGTAAATCGTATCATTTCAATATAATTGGATGCCACTGGTTTTAAATTTCTATTTTGTGCTGAATATAATTTAGCTTCTTCGGAAACTAATTTCCAGAAATCAAGATCGAGGTACTCCAAAAATAAATATAAGGAGCAAGAGTTTGTTCGGTCCACGAAGACTCATTTGTTTAGTGCTCCAAAATCTACGCGGCACATTTTGCTGCACTTCAACTACGTTCTCCTGTTCATTTTCAGAGTTCTCTTCTGACTCCGAAAATTCAGGTTGTACAGTATCTGGCGGCAAGTAATCAGCATCGTCTTCGTCTCCTGAGTAGTCCCCATTACTTTTATTAAGGTCTTCTTCTATTGCTTTATCGTTCGTGGTCTAGGATCAATAAAAATACATCACCATTTAGTCATATAAACAACATAAATTATTCTCTAGTCCTGAGGTGCACAAATGTGTACTCAAACAAAACTGACGTAATTTAATAACAAAACTACAAACAGAAAATAAAAAAAAGTTTACATTTTTACCTGAAAGTAACTAAATAATACTAAAAACCTGTCTACTTTGAATTTGAATAATTTTTTCATAACCTTATTACGATAGGATCTACCATCTATTGAACTTTTGATATTACAGGTCTTTGCCATTACGATAAAAGTACAAGTAAGCTTCTCTAGATGGTACTATCAGTCTTAGATATGATTTACTAAGGTACACATTTATGTGTACCGGGGGTCTGAAGAGGTTATCAGTATCTACTGTAATTGTTTCATCATGTTCGTTCTGCATCCCCATACATTTCTCTCAAAAGGAAGTAAAAAAAAAAATAATTATCAGTATGTAGTGTTTATTTCCTGATTTTTACATAAGTTTAAAAGAGATCAAAACATTCCAAATAATCATATAAAATTTATTTATTCTTAAACAATTAATAGTCCCATCTATCGATTCTTTTATACACGGTAACATCGTTAAAGGTCTATTTTGAAACACATTCGATGGGTTGGCTCAGCGATCGGCGGCGCATATTTAAAAACACACGTGATAATAGTGACCGAGCTCGCCAACTAGCACGGATCTACTTAAGAGACTATTTTAATTTGGTGTGTAATTATTACCCACCACCTTCGTTTTCCCTCAGGTGTTATTTTTTTAAATATGTTAATAATATGCGCAAACACAGGCACAGGTAACTATATACTAGAACACAGGTGCACTCTCTATTCCCTTACTCTAATAGTCCCATGGGCTGGAACCCGATACGACCGGAGAGAGATTAGGCGCAGGACCAACGTCTTTACGTGTTTTCCGAGGTACGGGCTTGAAACACCACAACGTCCTGACTACGGGCAGCTACTGAAAATCTCTTAATAAATTTTGCGTAGAATTCGGAATATTAAAAGATCAAGGTAATAATAACACAGTTTAAAGAGAGTATAACAGTTGTGAAACCAATGTATTGAGTAGAGCAACGACGGTGGGCCTTGCGGGGCAGCGCGGCCGTGTGCCAGCGCACTCCACTAAGTCTGCTGCTGTATGCGATTGATGTGAGTGATTTAAAGTACTTATTTAACTAATGTTAACCCTTTAACCGCCACGCTTTAATAAGCCTTAAAAAGCCTAAGCTTTAAAGCGCCTAAAGGTAATTAAATAAAATATACAATATTTTGCTAAAATATTTATTCCTAATTAAGATTAATTACACTTTGCATCCTTCGTAAAAATATTTAATATTCTGGAGATGGACACGAACTGATACCTCCATGGTTTTCTTTTGTCGCTTCTTCACGGACATTACCCTATTAAGTTTATTATATTCTTATAAAATTTCGATCACAATTGAATCCCTGGTTGGACAGACTCCTCACACACTCATTTAGAGAATCTTTGTTTTAAAAATCTTATATCAGTTAAAGGACGAATGCTTCAATTTACTTATTTCGAGATTGCCCGTATTTCACGTTTATCACGACAAAAGCAAGGAAAATGTTTAATATTATCAAAAAACAAAAGTTACCGATTTAATATCACTCTCTGTACATAAATCGCCACTACTAATAAAATCTGTAATAAAATAAAATTTCTGTACATAAATCGTTTATCATTATCGATTTGTCCAGAAAACACTAGACACACAACTAATAATTATTTCACACGTATTATCACAGTGGTGGCACCTGAAGTGGTGCAGACACCGGACAATTATTCAAAATATGATTTTGTTTGACCTTGTGCCGAACGTAAAATCACGGTGTCAACGTTCTCGGATTGACTGCACGTTCCAGAATCATTCGATCTTATATTTGTTTGTTTAATTTCTACATTATATTTGATTTAAAATTCATTGATTTTTGAATAAATATATGAAATATGATAAAATTCAATTATTGTTTAGATAATAGTAATCAAAATTAGGATTATTATTAATTAAGTATCCATGGGTTTCTTATTTATATTATACAACTGGCTCAACCCTAGTCTTCGGAAAAAAATGTATTTTGCACTATTTTAATTAATACGCCAGAATAATATATATAATCCTAATAAATAATATATATATATATATATATATATATATATATATATATATATATATATATATATATATACTACTAATAAATATATTTAAAACTATGATAGAAACTATACTAAAATTTAGTAAACAATGTCTATATAATCCAGTTTTTAGCGATATGACCATTAGGCAATATAAAGTGGGTGGCGAATGGCGTATTATTCTTAAAATCCGTATTATTACGGTGATGGCAGTTAAGGGTAAGTACCTGCAATGTTAAGTTTCGTAAAATATAACTATAATGGTGAATTACTGTTGTTTACCACATTATATTTTTTATAAAATTGTTCATCCGAACACAAGTACACTACACACTACAAAATAAATTTAACAATCGAAACTGAAAACATCCACAAAAAGAAAGTCTTTAAACTGTGTTAATTAATATAATGGTCTAGTTACATTAAAAACTCTAGCCCCTATTATTCCACCCTTAGGGATGATTTATTTCTCCAATTTTGAATGGGACCGCCCCTGAAATATATTCTGTTCAATATGTATATATAATATGATGTGCATAAATAACAATTCGAGTATTTTTCAGCGCTAGCGCTTATCTATTACTTAGCGCGAGTGCTGATGAGGTCCCAAAATCTGGTCACAAAGGTCAGGCCAAAATTAGTTTTTGGGTTTTTTTTGTCTAAAAATTCTCAGCAGCAGTTCGGAGTCAGAAAGTTAGCGGTGTTTCACCACCGTACCTCGGAAAGCGCGTAAATCCGTTAGTTCTGCGCCCGGTTGTGTCGGGTTACCATCCCATGGGACTATGAGAGTGAGGGAATGGAGACTGCACCTGTGCTTATACTCACATTCGTACAATATAATCCAGTCCGATGCAGATGTTAATTCTAAGACTTCACAAATTCAATAAACAACACATTCGGTAAAATTAAGGCACCAGTTACGGAAGTGAAAGTTAATTTCTACATCAAAAAAAAAATAGAAGATCGTTCTCTCGGTGGGCTTTGACAACATGCAGTCATGACTTGTTACAGCATGCAGTCTTTTTTTAATCAGTCTAACAACGAATCAATACTCGTATAAGTTAACTGAAAAAAAAAACAACTTTCAAATTTGCAAGGTGTAAAAGGGGCAGCTAGCAATAAAAATACAAATAATATAAATTGAAAAAAAAAAGAACATCATATAGAGTAGCTATAAAATATTAATTATGTCGCAGCCCGATTGCTCAATCAGCCCATTAATTGGACATCTCCATTCTTCAATAGTGAAATTAACAATATAATACTAAATAGCAATTTAGTAGTAATAACTATGTTGTGTCATTAATTATTTTGTGATTGTGATTATGACTGTTGGGGGTTTCACTTGTTTTGTTTAAAATTGATGCAACTTGCAACTAAGGTTAAAGGACTAATGTGCAATATTTTTACATAATTAAAAAGAAAGTAATTATAACAAAGGAATTAAACGAATTGTTAACATTGGCATACATAGCATTACGCAAGTAAATTAACATTATATCTTGGAGAAACCCATGACCAGTAGCAGACAGTGTACTTGGATTTCACTAAAGTTACTTGCAAAATGTGAGAGTTAAACTTGCTTTTGAATTATACATTAAAATATTTCTGTACTTTTAAATTATACACTAAATATTTAAAAAAAATGAAGTTCGGAAATGAGAGTTGAAAGGAGTAATTTTTTCATGAAAACCACCCTTAACTACTGTTTGTTTTTTTTATAGACTAGGGGTGACAAACGAGCACACAATTCAACTGATGGTAAACGGATGCTGTGACTTATAGACATCTACATTCATCCTCGATTAAGAATTAAAATGTAGATGCGTTGTCCCCCTGTGGACTAAGGAATACCCCGTTGTCAGTAAAAAGTCTCCGGTTCTCTAGATTCAACATACGAAACAGCAGCATTAAGCTGCTATTTTAAGCTGGTATTCTGTGAAAGCGTGATCCTTCCCCAGTTGAGCCAACCCATTCGTGCTACAACCATAATATAGCTGCAGCATGGCTCTACCACATAATAAACGAATGTCGGAGGTGGTCGAATGCGTATTACTTAAAAAAAAAGTAATAATAATTTTACTCTTCATTTCACTTCTGTTAGAGTAAGGCAAATTTACTTTGTATTCTAGTTATATATGAAAAGTAAATGTGCTATTTACTTTCATATTTATAATGCATTTATGTCGGTATATATCTTGATTACTTTATAAATATATTATATAATATGACTCTAATTATTTATATTATTACTAGCTGGCCAGGCAGACTTCCCTTTTCGACGACCCTTCATATAAAAAAAATCCTTAAATTCGTAATAAAAAATTTTTGAGTGTCACTTGTCAGGATAAAAACTATCTTATCTCTCAAGTTGGACCGAACTGCACACAGTGTGCAAAATTTCATTGAAATCAGTTCAGTAGTTCATCGCGGACAAACAACGTGACACGTAATTTTTATATATACAGATTAGGACCAGTATTTTATTCAATATAAAGTAAAAAAAAAATTGATAAAATTCTGAATAGAACTGACGTCCTGCTCTAGAGTGTATTGTGTTACATGTGTAAACAATTACACTATCTTAAAGTCTTAAGACTAGTCTAGTCTAGTCCTAAAATATGGTCAGCATCTAAAATTTATAGACTTTACAAATAATAATAGCAAAGCTCTAAACACATGCTATACAAATGTATATGTATAAGAAAAATATACATGTCTAATTACCAGCAACTTAAAATGAAATCCAGTGGACGGGAATGGTAAACAAAACATCAAAAATATTAAGAAATTCATTAACATTCTTAATACAAGAATATTATCATAAAAATTTGTTTGTAAACGTTTAATACTAATGATAGCTATAGTTGTAAAAATAATATTAATGGAAATAAAGTATAACTAAAAATAGGTTGAGCATAATATTGAAAAATACAAAAAAAATCTAAAATTAGTTACAGAATACACACATTGTTTAAAATAATAGATAACCTAAAGTACAATTTAAGTATAACAGGTGGGACTTGTAGTACAAAGATTTTAGGGAACTTTTTAATTCAAAATGGAAAGTAAGCATAATTTTCTTTTTTCTGGCGGTAAATATAAAAGTATGTTTTATGTAATAATTTGGGTGCACAAAGATAAGAATTCTTTTACGCCATAAAGTAGTCATGTGTTTTTATAATAATAAACTTTTATTCACTACATGAGGATATCCGAGCTGCATGAAATAAAATTTTAACTTTCAAAACCTTGATGAAATCAATCCCTTATTTCCTCCTTCAAAACAATATTTTAATTTTTATAAGGGCGTTAAAGGGCCGTAGAAATGTTTTAGTAATTTTTGAAGGTTCCTAGTTTTATTACTTTGTGGAATAAAACAAAATATGGCATCCAGGAGAAAACAGATAAATATGTTTATATGGATTGAACGCCACTCCGATATCCTCTTAAAACATACTCGTAGTTATTAAATAATAATGCGACTAAAATTACTTTCCACAATTCACTGAATACATAATTCAACTTAAACACAAAAAATGTAACTAAGAGAACTTAACACTAGATTCAGTCACAAAAATTAAATAAGGCGGGAAAGTTAAGTCATTAGATAAAATATTATTTATGCTTTATGCACAACTAAATACACATTCAGATGTAGGTAGCACTAACCTGTTTAAATTCATCATGTTTTTATGATAAAATCACAATTTTGAGAATTTTCACCTAATCCTAATGTATTTGTTTCCATTGATACATTTAACTTTTTATTATCACAGTTAGAATCAAAATCCTCTCGACTATCCATTGACATATCCTGCTGTTCAGTGCCATATTTGTCCTCCAATACATCTTCATTACAATCATGAGTTTCCTTAGTAAATTCTTCTGGATTCTCCATTTTGCAAACAGAGTTACTTTCATTGTGATCAGTAATATTTTTATTTCCTGGTATCACTGCTTGTGACATTAAATTCCGAAAATAGTTTTTCATATTGGACGCTAAGGCAGCCATGATTTGATTCTCTATGCTTGTTACATTTTTATAATCAAGTACCCTCTGCATTTCTTCACCTTTATGTAAAGTAGTTTGGGGCATAGTTGAATTTAACAAATTAGCTAAGATTGGATTCGCCCTTAGAGTTTCTTCTGTAGAACTTTCACTAATACAATTGTTGCTAGAATTACTATCAAAGTTTTCTTTTTCACTACATGCGTTTTCTGTTAATGTTTTTCGGA